TGTCTGACATAAACCGGTCCGTGGGGCAAAAAAGGTTGGTGGCCCCTGATCTAGTGCAAGTATCTCAAATTTTTGCTCAGAAGGAAAAGAAAAAAAACAAACAAACAAACAAAGAAACACGACTCATATATCGAAAATCGTAGGTCGAGTCACTTGCAAATCGATGTATCATGGTACTGTCTTCAATATTACTGACTTGTACGGAAAGCCACTCGACACTGTTTTCTCTTTGCATGGTGTTCTTGTTGTGTTTTAAACCTACCTGCCTGTGGAGAGGCCCAGTTTATACAGTGCATGTGTCACCTCTGCACACGCCAAGATAGCTCCGTGGCCACCTTGTAGGTCTGAAGCCACGGCCATGTTCAACAGTTGTGGCAGAACTGCGACAGACACACAAGAAATTATTTCTTTCCATTACTAATAATTGTACGGTTTCTGTCAAAAATATGTGTCTTGAATACTGTAACTGAGCTGCCCTTGAAGACTCCACGTCATGAAAAGAAACATGTATGGTGACATAGTTTACCCGTAGTGGCCATGTAATCAGGTGCTTGAGGTGTCAGGTTGTGGAGTGCTTTGGAGGTGAGCTCTCGTATTGCACTGAGAAACAAAAACAAAAAATGGTTGTTTTTTTTTTTAAGTTTCTTTCTGCAAAAAAATGTGAAGTGATGCATAGAAATAATCTTTAAGAAAGAAGAAGGAAGTCATAATTTTAGTATTTCTTGGAAGAAAAAACTTGTAATAAGAAGATGAGGGGGGAAAAAAAAACATCACTGACCCATCCCAGTGGTTGACCTTCTTGACTACCAAGTGGTCAATCATGGCTTTAGTGTACTCAGGAAAACTAGCAATGTAAACGCTAGAAGAAAAAAAAAAAAAGAGAACAACAACAGTTGGTAAGCTTTGAACTTGGTCACATCAGTTACACCAGCTAGAGGTGTGTCTTTCAAACGAGGAATTGCACCCTTTGCATTGAAGCACCCTGTCTTTTCTGGTAATTCTTTACCTGGTGTTCAGATAGCAGTGGTTGCGAATCCCCACAGCATGATAGTCCGCTGCGGTTGCAATGTCAATGCCATGAGGAAACGTCCCCTGTAGACAAATACAAAACCCTTTCGCTCTTCTTAAATGCCGTTTGTGGGGGGGATCAAATACTAAAACACTGGATTTAAGTGATTGCTAGTTCTGTGAGTGTTGGGAAATGTAGTTAGCGTTTGCTGCTGCCCTGAAGCTATACACTGGAAGGCTTTCACTAGCATTGCAAGTTGGAGCATGAAGACTTGGTAGCAAATTTGGAAAAAAAAAAAAAAAAAAAAGTCACAGTTTAGCGACAATATTCAGTAGTTGTCAAGGGCATGATCACGGACCTGCCTGCCGACGTTTTCCTGGAAAGCAGCCTGAGACAAAGAAAAAAAATTTTTTTTTTTTAATCTGTCAACAAAATTATGCAGAAGTGACGCATGTTGATGTTAGGCGGGACTTACTGAGGCGGCTTTGCGGCAGCTGACATCTCGATCGAACACGGTTGTAACCAGCAAAGAACTGTAGATGCATAAAAAATATGTTCATTATGATATCAGAACTTCATCCAGTAAAAGCACGATTACAAAAATTACTTTGAATACAAGAGCAGTGTGAGAAATTCAGATTTTTTAAAGATCTATATTGCTAGCAAGTTGACCAAATATATTTACAGTGATGTTAAAGCTATTTTGTGCCAAAGCTAATGAATAGGCCACTAGTAAAATGGAAAAAAATGCTATCTGTATAACTAAACATACACGTATACTGTATATCTCACCACATACCATTAAGCTGGTTAGCTCACTAGCCCATACCTGTGCGAAACCTAAGGTCACCGAAAAAAAATCTAAACTGACCGATTGTATCTTTTTAGCTGAAATTATCGAACTATGATTAGCATGATACCGCAACTCTTTAGAATAATTAAAAAAAACAAACAAACAAACAAAAACATACCACTACTACCACCACCACCACCACCACCACTCCTACTACTACTACTACAGGTTGTTCCAAAAGTCTTGGGCACATTTGAAGTCCACTTATCTCCTTAACTATGAATGGTAGTATGATAAAAGTTGTGCCATTTTAAAGCTAATTACATTCAAGTTTTTGTAAGGCTAGTGATTTTTTTTCAGACCCATTAACTCATTCACTCCCAAAGACGTTTTTAAACGTCTTTTCAGACTCAGTCTAGAATTGGCTGGTACTGAATGAGTTAATGGCGTTCACTCAACCAGAAAAGGCATTTTGTGTGCTTGAATTCGCAAAAACTGAATCATGGACTGTTGTTCAACGTGCATTTCGCAGAAAGTTAGCAAAACGCACGTTGAACAGAAATACGCTCATCCATGTATTCCAAGAGACGTGGATGAGCTGAAGGCATGAATAACAGAAGCTGTTGCAACCATTGACAATGCAATGCTGATTTGACTATCGGCTTGATGTGTGTCGTGTGACCAATGGTGAACATCTTTGAACATTCCATGTAAAAATTGAGATGACAAGCTTTCTGAATTTACCAGATGCGTTTTTATATCCTTAATAGTTTCCGAGCTATTCAATGTCAAAATGTGCCCAAGACTTTTGGAGCACCCTGTACTACTACTACCAGTAGTAGTAGTACTCTGTGTGTGTCTTTGGGGGCAGGGATGCAGAGATAAACTACTACTGTGCTTGTTTGCTTTTTGCTAACAGCAAATACACTTCGGGTTGGACTGGCCTTTTGCAACAGCCCTAGCACTGAAGGACAGAAAAAACAATCATCCTGATTACATTCCAGATAAGTCACTGCACATAAGCTAGGATCACAAAGTAACCGGCGGAGTCTGTGAGGCAACGGCTTTGGGTCGTTCCCACAAAAAAAAAAAAAAAAGAAAAAAAAAGTGCGTCAGTTTCCATTTCCATGTCATCGAATGGAGCAGGAACCAGCTTGTCCAAGGGCCGCTGCCAAAACAGTGACCGAAACCCACGGTGAACAGGCGAAACCTGGCAATCCTGCAGACGAGGGCAAGGGGAGGGAAGGGTGTCGCACAGATGCCGCCGCGGAGGGGATCAAACCGACACTGCGGAGTCACAGGCCACAGGTTTCAACACGTTGAGTCGCTCTTGAGAAAGAGTGAACAACGTGGCGTCATTGTGGATCTCAGCTTTGTGACAATTCCATGTAACTGTTATCGCACAATGATTTCATCACTCCAAACTACACAAAACTGCATTTAATGTCACACCCTTAACCAAAACATTCAAATGCACTCGGCCTCTGGGTCCATCCATGTAAAATCAAACACAGAATTTATCCTCCATTTGCTCAAATTTTCAGAAAGGGAAGGAAAAGACCATAACACAAAGTATTTTGTTCTAAACCTCATAATTTGAGAGACATAGCATAAGTTTATGCTAATCAGAAATATTGCTCAAATTTAAACATCTCTATATTTCTTTCTTTGAACAGCTATAGTTCAAATATTTCTCAGAAACCTTTAGAGTACCATCACAGTGTTCCTCCACTTGTCCACATTTCCAACCACACTTGAAAATGTGAAGAAAATCTGAGAGGTGAAGGGGAAATTTTTCACCCTTCTTACTCCACTAGCCCACCCAGAAAGTTTGAGGATGACTATCTGAAACGTGTTTTTGTCTTTTTCAGCGACACGAGAGGACAAAATATTATGACATCAATCTGTGCAATCATAGAATCGGTCAATGAAATTGCATGAAATTTTGCATTTGTTATAGTCTATATTGACAGACATCTTTGTGAAAGCAGAAATGTTCACACTGCTCTTGAACTGAGTTAATTTTTTTCAGCAGCGGTGGGATGCATCGATCTGACCTGGCAATTTGACTGACGAAAGGCTTGAGCTCTTTGGGATCGTACGCCCTGGCGAAGGACCAGCAGACGTAGCAGGCCGCGTCGCGGACATTAGAGCCGATGCTGCAGGCGCCCCTTTTTTCATCGTAGGTCAGGGCCTTGATGATAAGTGGCACCACTGCAGAAAGAACAGAAAGCAGTCCAGTCAGCGCCATTCAAACAAACTGTGAACATTGGAAAAGTGCCATGATAAACGTGCATCCATTTTCTATATCGCACTTGTCCTCGTGAGGGTTTTATGATTCCAATTATTAGGCAATAGAGGATATAAAATAAAATAATTCTATATATTCCTCCTAATATAAAGCGCAAAAAATGTCGTGGATTGGCTGTATATTGAAGAGTGACACATGCAGATGTGAATTCTTTAAAGTTTCAGTTTTACAGTAAAATTATTTGACGTCTGTGAGATTGCATGGAACCACTTTTCAAAATAATGATACTTAAAAAAAAAAAAAAAAAAAAGATGTGGGATGGTACCGTTCTTGACAGCCAGGTATTGCGGTCTTTTTTAGTAGCGGTACACTGTGTAGACTGACAGTTAAGTATGAGAGTTAAAACAACCTTGTTAAGATTAACAAACGCTTTATGATGGGGCACTTTGGCACAAATGAAGTCACTTAACATTATTTCCAAGGGGAAGATTATAAATACGAGTGGGAAGTCCAAGAAGGCACTAGGTAGGTTGCGCTGTACTTATTCAAATGTTGATTGCAGACTGTGAATTTTTATTCAACATTGCATCGTGCACATTACAATTGGAGGTGTCGTTACATAATCCACACTTATGTCTCCTCCCGATCAGAACTTGAAAGCACATTGTGAGTATTGAGCGGCCGCAGTGACAATGCAGAGAACGCCAGAAACAAGGACCCGGGCTGACCGACGGCGCATCATGCAAATCGTTGCTCGAGGCTCGACTAATATCAGGAACATCGATGTTGCCCGGAGGCGCTGCTGTTTAGACTGAGGCCCCACCCAGTGGAGAGGGAGAGAGAGTGTGAGAGAAAGAGAGAGAGTGTGTATGAGAGAGAGAGAGAGAGAGAGAGAGAGAGAGAGAGAGAGAGAGAGAGAGAGAGAGAGAGAGAGAGAGAGACAACAGCTCACAAAGAAAAACTCACCACACAACTAATAGGAATAGGTTTCACACATGCTGAATCACACACGCATCCACACACACACTCACTAAAGTCAGAGGAGCAGGACGCATCCTTGACCGACTGAGGACTTGCTCGTCAGGCACCCAGACACTTTGAGAGCAGGTAAACACTCTTTAAGCATCAATAATTTGTGCATTATGTGATCCTACAATAATTCGATGATGATCGAAAATCCCGATGATGGTGGTCCCCGATGTGTGCAAGTTGTTATCCTTTCATTGATGTTTTTACAGAATTTATGTTGACAATGGCGAATAATTAATAGAACATTGTGATGTATTTAAGTGACATACTGTAGTTCAGATAACGTAAAACATGCTACTTTAAAAAAAAAAGATTTTATTGAGCTAATTGGCGTTCTCGGGAAGGGAGTGGCAAAACTTGAGCGACAACTTCTTGCAACAGCGCATGACAAGCAGGTTCCTCCACGCGGCATTGGCAGCCACGGCTTGAGGGACACCTAAAAAAAAAATCCAATCTGAAAGACGTCCTGGGAGACAAATGGTTATGATTAAGTAAGGGCCAGCGCAAGTAAGTGTTTTCCTGGCAGACAATGACGACTCATGAGCTCATTTGGCGGATGTCAGTCATATGCATCCTGCAGGTGTAGCAGTCATGGGAAGCAGGTGTTTCTCAGTTCCCACACAGGTAGCAGTGAGTCGAGGCAAGTAGCAAGTTTCAGCATGCCCTCCACACGCCCGTGTCAGTAAGCGCTAAGTCCGACCGGCACCTGCTGCCGCGGCGAGCCGATGCGATGATGAGCGACATCCAAACGGGCGTGCAAGGGAACAACGAGCGGGCAGAGGCAATTTACACAGGCGCCAATCAAGCAAGAAAAACAGCGCGTCTATGCAAATGCATGCCATGCATACGTGTTTGCATATGCAGCCGTGTGTCTGTTTGGTATCCAACCTGTTTGCGGGAACAGTTGTAGAAAATACATTAGCCTCAGGGAGTGAGGTTTTGGGCAGCTAGAGATTTTGGAGTGACTACTCAAACACTTGTAAAAAACAAATATTTCCCAATGCCTTTTGGCCAGGGTGAAACTTTTCAGCAAATAGAAAAAAAACCCCACACTTGATTAGCTTTTGTCTTCTGAAACTATATGTTTCAGTCTTAAATCCGTCAACTGGCATCCAACCGTTGACTGCAAATGATGGATACATTCGTTATTTTCAAACAGGTTGGCACGGAAGAGGGTCTCGCCCAACTTGGCTGTGAAATTCAGGTTGGGAGACCACTGCAAAGGCTAATCAAATGTATCTATCCATCCATCCATCCATTTACTGCTCCGCTCATCCTCACAAGAGTCGCAGGGCATGCTAGAGCCTATCCCATCCGTCTTCGGGCATTAGGCGTGGGATACCCTGAACTGGTCGCCAGCCAATCACAGGGCACACAAAGACGAACAATCATCCATGCTCACACTCTCACCTAGGGACAATTTAGAGCCGTGGTTCTTAACCGTGTTAGAGGTACCGAACCCAACCAATTATTATGCACATTCACCAAACCCTTCATTACTGAAAAAAAATAATAATCAGATTCAAGAAGTGTTCCTTCAGTTTTGCCGGTGCAAGACTAGAGTTGCTCAACTTGGCATGACAAATCATGCAAATAGGATGCTGAGTCCATCACATTCTGTGATGCATGTGAATCCATGTCGTAGTTATTTGTCCGACCACTTTTTTTTGCACGACCCAAAAAAAAAAAAAAAAAAACAACAGTCATATGTTGACTCCTGAGCAGATCATCTGCAGCGGCATGTCAAAAACTAATTGACATGTTGAGTCGGGTGTGTCTTAACCTCCATGGCAGACGCTCGCCGAACCCCTGAGACCGATTCACCGAACCTCTGGTTAAGAACCACTGATTTAGAGTGTTCAATCGGCCTGCTAGGCATGTTTTTCCAATGTGGGAGGAAACCGGAGTACCCAGAGAAAACCCACGCATGCATGGAAACCTGAAAAAAACCCCACACACGAAGGCCGGAGCCGGAATCAAACACCGCACCTCCGCACTGAGGCCGGCGCGCGAACCAGTCGCCCACCGGGCCCCTAATCGAATGTAAATAATGTGAAATTGAGGTTGAAAACTAGGATCTTAAAGACTTTTAAACATTTAAAATCTTTTTTTTTTCTCTTTTAGTCAATTTTATGAGCCGGCTTTTATTTTCTTTAGTTTTTAAATGTTTTTAAAGTCTTCAGTTAATGTCTTTAAATATTGCCAATATACATTCTGTCAGTACATTTTTGGGAAGTTACTTTTGTTTTCTCTAATTTGCTTCTAAATATGGTTAGCTCGTGTTTGTAAAGGCTTGTAGCTTTTGTCTTTGCTCGTGGATGCAATGTGCTACCTAAATAAAGCAGCCTTGCTTAACAGATCCATGAACATAGATGCTGGTGCTGCATCGCTTTGGATTGGAGATCAACACAGCTTTTGAGTAGGGATAAAGATTAGGAATGTTGTGTTGTACATGTCTCGCTGAATTTCTCAAGTTTCATGTTGGGTGTCACATTTATTTGTTCTTCTCTTTTAAGGGACTGCATCGCAATGGCCACTGCTCAAGAACGGAAGCCCAAAAGGCCTCACTACATTCCCCGCCCACCAGGGAAACCGTTCAAGTACCAGTGTTTCCAGTGTCCTTTCACCTGCAATGAGAAATCCCACCTCTTTAACCACATGAAATACAACCTGTGCAAAAACTCCATCTCCCTGATGTCGCAAAAAAACTGTCAGAAAGCTCGCCAGCTCAAGGCTGGAATGAAGGCCATCCCTGGGAAATCCAAGGACGGTGCGACTTTGCTGGAAACTCCTGCGGAACAGGAAGTGGCGGAGGAAAACACAGCAGAGAGGAGCGATGCGGCAGAGGAGGTTGACGTTGAGAGTGACGGTCTGCCGGAGAAGGGAAGCCGGATTTTGACAAAAGCATGCGACGTTCGAGCGAAGGAGCCCAAGTCCCTGCCTTGCCCATCAGCCCTCTCCCTGGCGACACCAAACCGCGATGCAGCAGACGCATTTAAGTCGTCTGTTCAGTTATCAGACAGTTCACAAACTCCTGCTCCTTGGTTCGAGCGCCCAGCATTCCCATGGGCTCTGAAGCAATTCCCCACTCCCGTGGGTCCAGAATATACTCCTTACCTCAGACCTTTCTATCCCTCATACTACCACTCGGCAAGCCATCATGCAAATGAGACCAATTCCTCTTCTCTGCGCCTTGACTTTCCGGATCCCCAGAGGCCAGTAGTAGTACCACAGGCCATTGTCCCGCCTCCTGCTTCACTCTTCGACCCTTACCCATACCGATACTGTCACCCAATCAACACCAGAGAGCCATTTCTTTACAGCCTATATAGGCCCCATGAGCTCTCAAGATATCTTCCATTGGACTGGTATGGGCAAACCCTCGCGACCAAAGATTACAACTTATACATGCGATCCAGTCACAATCAGTTTGCTGAACAAGAACAGGTCAGGCCAAGTGGCGACAAGGACACCAGGCTGAGTCCAAAAGAGGGCTGTTCTGCTCTGGGCTCCCCCGACAGACCCAGTCATGCGCAAGTCATCCAGAGGGATGGCCAAGAGGCGCCGCGACACACCAGCCTGGATGACTGGCAACCGACTAAAGAGGAGCAAGACGTGCAGACTGACACCAGACGCAAGGACACTGCTGAAAGCTTGCTGCAGCTCGGCACCCTTCTTGTGGACGTAGGGTAAGAAAGGAACACTTACATTCATATCATGCTAGTCCTCATGAAGATAGGCATTCACACTGACTCTCCTCTCCGGATGTCTTGAGTGAATTTTGCATGTGATCACCATGCTTGCATGGGTTTTCAAAAAGATGCATGTTCATTATAGACACTGAAGTGTCCATAGGTGTGAATGTGAACAGTTGTGCCCTGTGAATGGCAGGTGATCAGACCAAAAAGGTGGAACCCGCACCAAAATCCAAAAGTCAGTTAAAGTCTGCTATGATAGGCTCCAGGGGACGTTTAGCGCATGGGGATGTGTTCCAGTCAAGTGCCGATTAATCAGCCGGGCAAATTAATCACGCCATATTAATTGGGCAGTATCAGTATTTATTCATGAAACATTTTCTGATTTCATCAGATGATTAATCGGTTATCAGAACTGCATTCTGTCAAATATCAGAAACTGCAATGTCCTCAAAAATTCCATATTGGCCGGGCCCTAATACACACTACTGTATTTAAAATAAAAAAAACTCAATTTAAACTCAATTAATCTTTCAAATGTATCGCTGAAAAATGTGTTAAGGACTATGGCTCTCCTTTCCCACATACAAGGCCATTACAATAGTCAAAGTAAATATACTGAAACAACTTAAACATGAGATGCAGTGGAGGCACAAACAACGAACTGCAAAACACCATGGAAGAATTTAGATTTTTGTTGGAATTTTGCTCGCGAACAAATCGCAGCCTGCTTAGAAATGAGTTTAATTCCTGTATTAATCTCTCAAACAGATCAGTTGAGAACATCAGACATTCAGATGTGACCGAATCATGTGTGGAAGCTACCTCTAATCAGGAAGAGGACAACCGAAGCGCTCTGGCACCACTAAATCTTTCGACAAGGAAACCGGACAGCTCGGACACAGAAGAGCCACGGGCTGCACCGGTGCCGCTGAACCTCAGCCTCCGTTCGCCTTATCCCAGGACTTCAGAAGATGGCGGTCACACAGATGAAGAAGCGTGCGACCAGAGGCAAACGGCGGCACTGGCACTCTGTCAGCTCGCCATCGCCAGCTCGGCTGCCTCTTTGCGGGACTTTGAGCCCACGCGTCGACCAGCAGAAGATATTACGGACAACGGAGATCGGGCTTCGGGCTCAATGGAAAAGGCTGAACACGAGAGCACGGCTAACACCATGCCCACAAAACGACTTAACGGCAGCCACGCTAAAAAATCCAACAACACGCACAGACCAAAGAAGAGAAAAGTGGCAACGCGGCCCGTGAGGAGGAGACCTCATCGCTCCTAAACACTCTTGACTGACCAATGAAAAGCACATCACTCCTTGTTTGTTGTGTTCAGGCCAAAATATAGCAATATTCCAAGATCTGGTGGTATCTTGGTGCCCAAGAAAACACTTGGAGTGAGTTGAAGAGTTTCGTTCAGACTAAAGTAGGCCTTTGCCACCATCTTGTGGTGTATAGAGTCATCACTACTCACGTTTTTTTCCCATTATTCAGAAGTATCGGGACAAAGCCTTGCTGTGAATAGCAGGGCTTCATGACTGCATTTTTTTGAGCATCAAGAGAAAAGCCGTACTGTATTTTTTGCTGCAAGACGAGATCAACCTAGTGAACATTGACATTACTGAAGCACTGAAAGACTTTATATACAGTGGGGAGAATAAGTGTTTGAGACCCTGCTGATTTTTGAAGTTTTCCCACTTACATAGCAGGTAGAGTTCTGTACTTTGAAAACGTGATAGAACACAGTCCATCATGTAGCGTATGTAAATAAGTCTGAAAATACATTAGGTGCACCTGCATTAAGAGATTAGTTTTATTTGAACAAAATAACAGCAAAGACCCAGTTATGAGCTGTCTCATGGTCTGAGGAGGGTTGGGGGGAGGGGGTCATCCATAACCCCATCTCCCAACCCCCCATTGACGATATCAAAATACAAAATCTAACAATGTAATAATTGATCAGAGTCAATCAAGAGTTTTTTTTAATGATACAGCTCTTCTATTTGCATGTGCAGGTGTACCTAATAAATTGCCTGGTAAGTGTGTGCATGTCTTGGTGGCAAAAGGTGACACGGAATGTTTAGAGGGCATGTTTTTCTTATGACAATCAGGATACTTTTTGAAGAAAGCAAATAAAAACATCAATGTTGAAATGTTAATAAGGACTTCATGATAACTTACCATCAGTTAATCTGGAGGGCAACAGTAAGCCTCTCCTGCCAAGTTCTGCAAGGGCCAGGCAGCCTCCGTGCCAGGTATCCGTCTCCTGGAAGCTTCCATTAGAACACCCAAAGTGGGTTAACGAGCTGTAACATGAAAATATGTTTCCCTATTAAATAAAATACCTGAAGCAGTCCAGTACTGAGGCCACGACTTCGTCCGCCAGCTCCTTCGGAAGCCTCCCAGTCACTCTCCCAACACTGATGGGGTTGAAACACACACAGTTCACTCAGGACCAAAAAGCTGCAAGGACGCTTGACTATACAACAAAAACGTTGTTACCCCTTTGCTGCAGACCAACGCACTATTGTTTCTTTATCCTTAAGTCCCACCAGTAGATGCTCTGAGAACAAACATGTCACCATAACAGTGGGTTATTTACTAAACAGGCAGTGAAATGAGATTCATTACTTCTTGTATGGAAGTTAAATTAAAGCTTTTCGACGGCACACTGACCCCGATCCTGATTTAAATAATGATAACCCGCCCATGACTTCAATGGCCATAGTCTGTATGCATTATTATTATTATCATTATTATTATTATTATTATTATTATTTCTTTTCTTTTTTTTTATGATGGCCACAGAGCTAATGTCGCAATCATATTTATTGGTCATTGTCTTTTTGTAGTTCAAACTTGCAATGGGTGTTTGCAAGTCACATATCGAAGTATTTCAAAGAAGACAAGCTGGCAATAATGGCTTATATCCCATCTATGTGCAGGGACATTGGCACATTTCCGATACGTATCGGATTTGTGCCACTTAAAAGCAAATAACAGAATTGCGTCATTTGAAGCAGGTGCTGTAAATCCAGCCTTAGTTATGATCTTACCAATGACAGTCTCTAATTCTTCTGGAATATCATAATCCTCCTCCCCTTGTGTCATCTCTTTGAGGCTATCTGTGGCCTGGCTGGTCAAAAGGGTCGATGCTATGGACCTGCTTCCTCTCTGGTACCTGCGATGGTAATGTAATCCATTATGGATTTGGATTGAAAGCAAAGTTGCTCTTTTCCTCCCCAACAATCGTAGTTTTACGTCTCACCTCCAAGGAGCCAAGCGTGGCTTCAGGTAGGTGAGGCCCAACCGCTGGATCAGTTTGACGTTGAGCTTCCTCAGCGTAGCTTGGCTACTTTCCGAGAGACGCTTTTCTTCCAGACACCGCAAAACTCTAGAAGCTAGGAGGGAACAGAGAAAATTGTTCATTATTGCACAAAACAGGAAAGGCGAGCATTTTCTTGAGACCACCTACACCAGGGGTGTCAAACTCATTTTTGTTGCGGGCCACATTGTAGTTCTGGTTTCCCTTGGAGGGCCGTTATGAATTTTGGGAAACCATATCATTGTTTAATTCCCTCCATATCTTATATACAGAGCGCACAACAAATTGATGAATAACTAGTTTTAAAATCAGAAGTCAAGAACAATGACTGTTATTGTGGATTACATATGACAATTTGAAATTTTGGTTCTGACTTTAGCAAGCATCATGGAACTTGACATGCTTGATTTGCTTTTGCGGGCCACATAAAATGATGTGGCGGGCCAGATCTGGCCCCCGGGCCTTGACTTTGACACCAGTGACCTACACCTTGGAGGAACAGTTCAAAAAAAGACCAAAAGCAGTTTAGCCACAAATGCTCATTATCCATCCACAGATTTTCTTTAGCCACAAGTAGGGCACACAAACGACCACTGACAGTCACACACAAGGACAATGGAGATGCACATTTTTGGAACGAAGGAGGCGGTAGGAGTACCTGAAGAAAACCCACGCAGGGTCTGATCTGAAATTTGAACTCAGGGCCTCTCGAATGTGCTAACCACCAGTCCGCTGGACCATTTCAAATGCTCATAAAATGTTATTTATTTGTCACATCATACTTTTTCCTGAGCTTAACATGGCCCCGGGGGGGACTTTATAAAAACAGGAAATGAGCTTCCCCACCCCTGATTTAGAGACACCTAACCTGTCTACATGCAAATAAACCCTCTTGACCGAATTATTTGTATTCACAAATCTTTGTTACTGCAGGCAAAGGCAACTGAACAGAACAATGCAGATGCACACAAACTAGAACACCACAAAGTGGAGCGCGAACATCCCGCAGAGGAAGACCAAACGACTTATGTGAACAAAAGTGGGGGGAAAAAAATCCCACACATCAAAATATAATTTCCTTTCCAACCAGTTTAGTGGAAAGTATTTATCTGCAGAAGAGAGAGTTACTTTCAAGCCCCTGGAAATTGAGCTCGAACAGTGACTTTAACGCTAATATTTTTTTGTGCTTTTGTGACACCATGGCAATGAATGAGCTAATTCTTTAATTTCACCTCCATTCAACGGCAAACGCGTAAAACCCAGGCTCTGTCCAAATACTTTTGCATCAAAGCTAAACCTACCATGCTGTAAGAGATCCTCCCGCTTGCCATGCTGGAAAAGCATTGCCTGTTGGAACACAAATAAGATATCTATGATGATTGTGCACACATCTGGGAAAAAAAAGGTGGTAAATATCACATATGTAAATCTTCATTATTTGTACCTCTTCAACCTTGACGTCCACAGCAGAAAAACAAAACAACACATACAATACTGTAACGGCTTTAATGCCTTGAGCGCAGCTTGACGGTGCGACGAGACGTTAAAGGAACACGTTATTCAAGTTCACCGTATCTCCCTGTGCAATGAAATGCATCGACTTGCTCGGAGCTTGACTAGCATCGCAATGACAGTTGAGAACGTCATCAATAAAAGAACATGCAGATTTAATTAGAGGCCCGTTGCTGTGTCACATGGCTTAAGGGGGAACTATTATGGAAAATCCACAAACAGTTGGTTACGTGCAGTGCCTCCCTACTCCTCAACTGAAAAAAAACCCTCACTTTTTTGGTACCCGAGTCTGAGTGTTTGGTTTTGAGGAAATGCCAAGAACAAGTCTTTAACCGATATGTCGGCATTACATTTAAAAAAAAAAAAAAAAAAAGGAGATGCCAATAACAAGTCTTTAACCGATATGTCAGCATTACATTTACAATAAAAAAAAAAAAAAAAAGCCGGCTACAAATGGTCTCAATTTAATATAGAAATATACATACAAACATGTGTATATGGTACATAAAATGTATACGTTATTATATATCTTTACATTTGTGTTTACATGGCCCAATCCACCAAATCAGCTGCACAGCAGTTGTTTTTTGTAAAATCCTCAAAATAAAGTAACGTTTTAGCTTTCGTTGTTTTTAGCTGTATATTTGATGATACACATTGAACAACTCAAAATGTGTATTGGCCTATCTCAGAAATGTTTTATTTTCGCACATCGTTTTCTGCTGAAACTCGTCATGGGTTTTCAGCATCAAATTGCCAATACATGAACTATAGCCATGACATTTATACTAATAGAATGCGAACATTAGGCACAAGACATATCAATGTGCAGGACCCTTTATAAAAATGTATTTTCATATCATAATAATATCAGATTTTCTTGGAATTGTATAGTGCATTTATACATTTTAATCCTAGGGGACACAAATGGCACCCATTTGTGGAATGGCCTATAGAGTACAAAAAGAATTAACGCCGGATGAGGGATTCCTCTACTTGAGTAAATTTGATTTCCAAACGTAAACAATATATTTACATAGTTATTTACTGGCGTGTGCAGGCTACAATGACGAGTCCACACAGCTATGTAGTTCATTGCTGCGTGTGTGACTGCTTCCCACATCTACAAACAACAGTATTGCTTTATGATCTTGTTATATGGAACCGGTGTGGCTCAAACTTGCTTGTCACCAAATAATTCACACTCTTTCCATGTTGTCTCGGTACCTGCGTGGGTTTTCTCTGAGTACTACGGTTTCTTCCCACATTCCAAAAACATGCATAGCAGGCTGACTGAACACTCTAAATTCTCCACAGGTGTGCATGTGAGCGTGGATGGTTGTTCGTCTGTGTGCCATGCAATTGGCTGGCAACCGTATCAGGGTGTCCCCCGCCTACTGCCGGAGGACAGTTGGGATAGGCTCCAGCATCCCCTGTGACCCATGTGAGGATAAAGCGGATCGGAAAATGGATGGATGGATGGATGGATGGAAGTTAGATCACTTGGACACATCACAAGAGCTAACCTGTCTGTCATGCGAATAAATGGCAAATACATTGTAGCCCAAATTACACAAAACACCAGTACCTTTGCATTGAAGCAAACAACCAATGGCATAAACCAGACACAGCGTGTGTGCGTGCGTGCTTACCAGAGACTGGAGAGCACCATCCAGCACCCGAATGGAGTCCAAAGACTGGTCATTATTTTGGGATATAGTGGTGAGACTCCAGTCCAGGAAGTCTCCAAGGCGCCTCTTGAGCACATCAGGCCTCGTCATGAATCTGTCAAGACCATTGAAAGAAAGACACAACCTTAACATACCAAGCGCAGCTCAACAGAATTATAGGCAGCAGAACACTGCCCTCTAGTGGGCCACAAAAAACACATTACAGTTGAAAGGTAAGGAATACTGTACTAAGAATTGGCGAGTTCTTTTTTTCTGTGATCTGGCTGACAGAATTGACTTACTTTGAGACCAACACGGATGCAGCAAGCCTGCAGCCATCGCTGACACCAAGATATGACTACAAAGAGAAAAGGTCACCGTTACAATTATCACAAATATGTGGATCATTTTCTTCCTCTGTATGAATATGAAAGTTGCTGTTAAAGAGGTAATGAGGCATATGTCGGTAGTATAAGTGACATCAAAACCCAAGCATTCACGTATAAGGGAAGTAAACCTAAACTTAAAGTTAACCTCTAAAATTGACTTGACTTTTGATGGAAAACTGTAGACACGAAAACCTGGGAACTGTTGTCGGTTGTGGAGACAAAAAAATGCATGTCTCACTGAACATTTTTTCAATGTCTTTTCAACTGTCATTTTCTTGTGTTTTGACTTTTAGAGTTTGCATTGCTCTATAATCCTGAAGCATCTGAACAGTAGCATATTGTGATGCATTCAATCATTTCAATTTGCCTTAGCAATAGCGAGGATGCGGTCCATGATGGCCTCTCTTCCTTGGCCATCTTCAGACTTCAGATTGCCATCAAGGCGGGAAAGGTCAAAGGGCGTGAGGCAGGTCATGGACAGCCACAGCAGCAGAATGTAGCGTGTCGACCATGTCTAAAAGAAGGAGAAATTGGCTAAAAAATGATTTTGTCTGACAAACACACACACACACACACACACACACACACACACACACGAAAAAAGGACGATCTTGTGTGCATTGAACCTCAGTGTCTGTCGGGTCCTGCTTGGAAAGTGAATCCAGAACTGGCTCTACGTCAGCGACTTCATGAGGTAATCGGCGAATGAAGATTTTGTAGACGCGCACCTGCGCAAAGACAAAAACAAATAGAAAGTAAATGGTAGGAATGAAAGGTAGCATGTTCTGAGACCCAGTCAGATTCACATCAAACTGACCTTGCAGATGATGTAGAGAAACTTGAAGCCCAAATGAAACAGGGAAGAAGGGCAGTCCTCACTCCTCACCAACTTGAGTAACATATTCACCATCCATTCTAAAAGTTAATAAATGCATTCAAATTGGATTTCTAGGATGAATATTGTACTGATTTCTATTCCCCCCCTCCCCAACTTACCCAAGTGTGGGTCCAGCAGATGAGGCTGATCTTGATATTGGCTGAGTGTCTCTGTTGAGTGGACATGAGCATAGTCATTAAACTGATAGTGACAGACAAGTACAGTGTTGAAAATAATTGCAGTATTAGATCTCTTGCTAAATTTCCATGTTTGCCAACTTTCAAAGACATCAACAGTCTTAAATATGATGGTTCATTGATTACTGTAATGTCCGAATTATTAGTGAAATGTATACTGTTTTTTTACCTAATCGTCTTTTTTTATTGATGCAAGTGCATCAAATCAAACGGAATCATTCCACATACATATATATATATATA